CAATGGACTCCGTTTTGTTCCGTGATACCCCTCTTTATCCCTGATCATTTTCGTCAGTCTGAAGTCTGCTTTGTCTGAAATTGTTTGAGCTACCGCATCTTTCTTTTGATCAGTGATAGCGTGGTATATCTTTCTCCATCCTGTTTCTCTTATTATATCTGTGCCTTTTTATTTAAAGTGGATTTCTTATACACAACGTCTAATTAAGTCTTATCTTTTCATCCGCTCTGACAGTCTATCTTTTAATTGGTGCAGTTAGACCACTGACTTGGAAGGTTTCTGTTGATATACTTGGATTAATGTCTACCATATTAGTTACTGTTTTATATTCATTGTTCTTTTTCTTGGTTTCTTTTTTTTGTCTTCCACTCATTTGCTGTCTTCTCTGGTTGTAAAAAAGAATTTTATGTGATTCCATTCTTTTCTCCTCTCTTGGCATATCAACTGTACTTTTATTTTTTCTTTCATCTTTTTCAGTGGTTGCCCTGGAGTTTGCAATGTACATTTAAAAATCATCCAAGTGCTCTTTCAAAGAACAGTGTACTGTTTCATGGCTAGCACAAGTGCCTAATAACACAGTATTCCCAATTCATTCCACCCATCCGTTAGAGCATTACTGTCATTCATTTCACTTATCCATAAGCTGCTTATCCAAATCCATTATTGCTACTATGGTTTTGAACTGTTATCAGTTGGATCAATCAAGAAAAAGACAAATAAATTATTGTATTTGAATTCATTGCTTCAAAATGCTCTTCCTTTCTTTGTGTAGATCCCAGTTTCTGACATATCATTTTCCTTTGTTCTGAGGAATTTCTTTTAACATTTCTTGCAAGGCAGGCCTACTGGTGACAAATTCCTTCAATTCTTATTTGTCTAGGAATGTTGTCTTTTTCTCTTGCTTATGAAGGATAATTTGCCGGATACAGAATTCGTGGTGGGTGGGGTGTTTTTCTTATACTCCCTTCTCTTCTTGCTTGCATGGTTTCAGAGAAGTCTGATATACCTCTTATCCTTACTCTTCTCTGGGTAAGATATTTTTCTCTCTGGCTTCATTTAGGCTTTCCTTTTGTCTTTGATTTTCTGCATTTTGAATATGATATTCTTTCCTAGGTGTGTGCATTTTGGTATTTTCCTGGTTGGTATTCTCTGAGCTTCCTGGATCTGTGGTTCAATGTCTATAATTCATTTCAGGGGATGCTGGCCCCACGGCCAAGTGGTTAAGTTCACACGCTCCACTCGGCAGTGCAGGGTTTCACTGATTCAGATCCAGGATGCATACATGGCACTCCTCATTAAACCATAATGAGGTGGCATCCCATATGCCACAACTAAAAGAACCCAAACTAGAATGTACAACTATGTACTGGGGGGATTTGGGGAGAAAAGGCAGAAGAAAAACAGAAGATTGGGAACAGTTGTTAGCTCAGGTGCCAATATTAAAAAAAAAAAAAACCTTTGGGTGGAAAAAACTAAAAAATTTTTTAGGAAATTCTCAGTCATTATTGCTTCAAATACTTCTTCTGTGCTCCTTCTGATAGTCACATTACACATATTTACGCCTCTTGTGATTGTTCCTTAGTTCTTGCATAATCCCTTCCTTTTCATTCTTTTTTCTCTTTGCATTTCAATTTCAGAAATTTCTATTGATATTTGTCCAAGCTCGCAGGTTCTTTCCTCAGCCGTGTCCAGAGTATTGTTGAACCTCTAAGGCACTCTTCATTTCTGTCCCAGTGTTTTTCATTTCTACCATCTCCTTTGGATTCTTTCTTAGAGTTCCCATCTTTCTACTTACCTTAGCCATATGTTCTTGCATGCTGTCCACCTTTCCCTTTGGAGCCGTTAGCATATTAATCACTGTTGCTTTAAATTCCTGGTCTAGTAATTCCACCATGTCTGCCATATTGGAGCCTGGTTCTAATGCTTATTTTCTTTCTTCAAACTGTGTTTTTTTTGTCTCATAGTATGTCTTTTAATGTTTTGTTAAAAGCCAAACATGATATACTGGGTAAAGGATTTGAGGTAAGTAGGCCTTAGTGTGAAGTTTTGTCTTTATCTGGCTAGGGGTTAGGCTGGGTTTCCTGTTTATTGTAGCTGTAGATGTGAGAGGCCTAAATCTCCTCTGGAATTCTTGGTTTTGTGTTCTCAGCTGTCTTGAGTGTCCCTGGTGATTTCTGCTTAAATGAGGCCTGAGAACTTGCAGTTCTTTCGGTTGTATCCTTTCAGTTATATTCCCCTGTTATCATATAGGATCCCTAAGGATGTGCTGGTAAGGTGTGTGTGTGTGTGTGGAAACATTCTGTAGTCCTATGATCAGGGCTCAGTCTTTGAGTCAGCCTGTGTCACTGGGCTGTGGCCTTCACAAGAGCTTCTCAGGGTTCACCTTCCTCCTCCCCTCGATGGAAAAGGAAGGCTAGAGGGGCCGGGATTGGGTATTTCCTTTCCCCAAGGTCAGTTGGGATGTGGTAAAATCCCAGTTGGTTAGGCTCTGGTCAAATAGTTTCTTTGAGAGCAGGCTTTGTCAAGAAAACAAAATGCTCTGGCTGTATCTGCCAGTAGCTACTTTCCTCTCACTCTGCCAGAGGCGTAAGGAGATTTTTCTCTAGTCTTCACTGTGAGACACTGATAGGGCTCCTGGACATAAAACTCTCCAGAACTCTTGGGTTTCTCCCACGACTGGGCCCCCTGATGCTTTTAACTCAAACTTCTCCACACTGAGTCTCCAGCAATAAGTCAATTACATGCTAAGTTTTCCTACTCTGATCCTGGCTCCTGCCTAGGTTTCTGTGTCAATAAGTTGTAATTCTCTTTGTTTGCCTAGCCTGTCTGTATCTCCAGTTTTGGGGGCAGTGGTTTGCTCTCTGACCTTCATTCTCTGATGGATCTAAGAAGAGTGGTTGATTTTCAGTTTGTTCAGCTATTTTCTTGTTGTGAGGACAGGAGTGATGACTTCCAAGATCCTTACATGTTGGACCAGAAACTGGAAGTCTCCTTAGACGTCTTGAGGGGAGACTGAGAGGATTGTTTATGGTCTCTTTAGAGAAAGTTCCCACTGTGCCTGAGAGCCAGCTTTATGTCAAGACAAATAATACAGTTGTAGAAGTCCAGAGAGAATCTGGACAAGTACATGGTGATCTTGGGAACAAAAGACATTTCTAACATTTTTTCCGGTTTCACATAGAGCATGCCATCCGGGAAACTGTGTCTGATGGATCGTAAAAACAAGAAAGGGCATTCGTTTAATACAAATAAGAGACCTTTCAGTACGATTCTCTCAGTGTATCCTGAAATTGTACTTGGGTATTTATGTCTTCATGACTAGACAGGCCATTGTGTTTACAATGGGTGGCATGGAACTCCTTAGTGCCTGCTGGACATTTCTGGATGTGGAATTTCTGAATTTTTCTGCAGAAAATCATGCAGAGGAGGAGAACAAAGAAGAAAAAGCATCAATGGACCCCAGGTAACCCGGAATGATCAGGCCCTGGAAGAGGATGCGTAAAATAAGAGGATGGTTCCCAAATAAAGACCAAGAGGTCAACACTAGCCACAGATTTCTAAGGCAAAAGTGACAGAAACTGCTGGTTGAATTATTCCATTCACTTAACCAATCAGGAAATAGCCTTCTAAAAAGGTTGTCATTTGCTTTTGTGGTACTTGTCATTCTTATGTAAGGGAAATTAACCAGTCTCGGGGAATTTGTTGTAGTCACAGAATCCATCTGTTCTCTCCTCTGTGGCTAAACCTAAGATGAGATGGATATGTGCTTTCTGCATGGTGGACTTTAGCTTCTTGGCATGCATTTCATAGCAAGAAATGTAATTAGACCAAAACAATCATGTCCCGTCACAATATTGATAGAAAGAAGTCTAGAAGGCACAAGGTCTCTGGGCATCTACAATGTGTCAGGAACGTGTATTCCTTGGGTGGCAGTATGTAAAATTCAACACCATTTCTGCACACGGTTGAGCCACTGTTCTGGTTCTCTGTGTCTGCTGAGTGCCATTGCTGTACCATACAGGTAGAGTTGATTCTCCTTCCTCATTGAGTGCTATCTGGCCAGTTTACTGAGCGCCCACTCCCCTCTCTCCTGCCCTCAGGGGCAGCCAGACCATGCTCTCAACATAGGAGGATTGTTTTCTTTCTCTTTGAGGGGACTGTCCCTCACTTTCTGTGACCACTCTCTCTACCACCAATCAGGACCACCTGGGACTCTGGCATCCAACCCTTCTTGGTTTCATCATATCCTTTTTCCCCTAGCCTGAGCACAGAGCTACAGGAAAAAGAGAGTGTGAATGAAGCCCTGAAGGGGTCAGTGGATGAAGGCCCTGTGACTTCTTCCAGTCACCAGTACCCGTCTGGTTCTCACGAGCCTCCCAGCACCAATGTCTTCTTGTCTGAGGAGCACGAAGACTTCTCTGCTCTGGTTGCAGCTACTGAGTACTCCCATCAACAGGAGAAGAAAGCTCCAACAGGTCTCCCAGGTAGTGTCCATATTCATGTTCCCCACATCCCTGTCCAGGTCAAGATATGTCTTCTCTTCAGTCTGGCCCTGGAGACTTAACTTGGTTTGAATCAGAATCTAGGACTCAGTTTTAAGCATACACATCAGGTGGGTCAGGTAGTTCAACACTCTTCCGAGTCCCAGGCCAAATCTCTGCCATCCCCGTTACCATGCCTGCTCCGCTCCAAGCAGCAGTCTCTGTCTCTTCTAAGTTGGTTTATCCTCAGTAGGGAGCCATCTAAGTGTCAAAAGATAAACACCTCTTGAATGTGTCTGGAATTTTCCCTGAATGCGTGGTGTGAACCCTGGCACCCTCCACCACTTTGAATAGCAAGAATCCTGTTCTCTAGGTGGCACCATAGATTCTTTCCTATTTATGAGTGAATAAATTCCATCCATCAGTCTAGTCTTGGTGTATAACTTCATCCAAACCAACAGCAGCCAGCATATCTGATGGAGTAAGAGCTGAATCTTGCCACAGCCTTTCCAGAAAGCAACTAGATGAGCTCCTCATGACCTCGGGGAGAATATGTTGAACTCTTTGCCCAGGTTCAGGGAAGAGAACCTTGTTGTATTGATCTGCCAATTCAGAGACAGTCTGCCCTATGACTCAGGAAAGGAAGCCTGGTCACTTTTCAGAAGACACAACCCGTGGCCTCCTGGAATATCCTGAGACTATCCTGTTCTCACACTGAGAAGACTTACATCCCTGTGTTTAAACAGGCCCCTGGGTTGGTAATGCGTCAAGAAGCAACTTTTTATTATGACTGGCCCTGTCCAAATTTATTTGCAGAAACTCAAAAAGATCAGAAGGATGAGGAAAGAGATGAGCCAACAGCCCCCAGGTAACTGATAATCCTGGTTGTGAAAGCAATGGTGACATCTGAAGATCTCAAATCCAGGGAAAATTAGAAAGTACCAGTAGACCTATTTCATCCCATCAGACTACCACGAATTACCCCTTTTAAGAATGCTGTCTGTTTTCTTGAGACTTGTCCTGTTAGTTTCCACTTGGTATTAATTTCTCAAGTTTAGGAACCTAGAGTCAGCTTGACACAAGGGAAACTAACCAATCTTAGAGATTTCCTGCACTCAGGGAGACCACGTGTCCTCTCTCATTTGGGGAAAACTAAGATAAGATACATAACTTCAGTCTGCACATTTGGCCTGTTTAATGGTGAGGATTTCATAGCGTGACATATAGCTAGACAAAAATGTGTATGTGATATTACAGTATTGAGAGAAACAGGCCTAGAAGGCACAAAATGTCTGGGAGCCCACAATGCCCCAGGAGCCTTTACTCACTGGGCCTCTGTAAGAAAAGTGGAACAGAAGTTATGCTTTGGAGTTGTAGGAACTCCTGTGGTTCTCGTTGTGTGCTCTGTGTCATGACTGTGGCATAGAGGAGAGCTGAGTCTCCTTCCTCATTAACTTGTTATCTGGACAGGGCAGTGAGCACCTGCTGCCCTCCCTCCCCTGACCACGGCAGCCTCACTTAGTTGCAGTCATAGAAGGACTGTTATATTCTTCCTATTTCAAGGGATGCCCTCTTTACCTTCTGTGACCTCTCCCTTAGTCTTCCAATCAAAGCCAGTTGGGAAGTTGCAGTGTCCAGTCTTTCCTTGTTTAATATTCTGTTATGTTTGTGCCTCTGGGCTCGGTAGGGAGCTCCAGGAGGAGGAGGAAATGAATGATACGTGTCAGGATTCTTTGGATGAACAGTATTTGACTCTTTCCAGTCACCATGACTTGTCTGACTCCTGCCACCCTCCAGACAGTCCCACCATCCCATCTGATGAGCATGAAATCTGCTCTTGGCTGGAGCGAGCCCGTGAGTACTCTATTGTAAAGAGGACAAGCTCCGAATGGTCTCCCAGGTAGCCTCCATGTTCTTTGTGCTCACACCTCTGTCCAGGTACAGAAATGTCTCTTTGATGGCAGACCTTGGAGGCCCATCTTGGTTTGAATCAGAATCTAAGATTCATTTGAAAGCACAGACATCGGGTGGGTCAAGTAGCTGTACACCCTTCCAAGTCCCAGATCAAATCTCTGTCACCCTGGGACCCAATGCCAAGCACAGGGTGGTGAACACCAGGTAAACCAGAGTGGGGAGATTGAAGAGATCATAACACACTTCCAGCCACCACTGATGCTTGTGCACAACAGGAGTTTCCATGAGCTCCTTCTATAAAGATGGGCCCTCTGATCTCTCCTGTAATTTTTTCCTAATTGAGTTCCTGAACTGAGCATTAATGACTGTCCAAGTAGGGTGGTAGTCTTGCCTATCTCTTTGGAGATGTTGTTACCATGGTTCCTCAGCTCTGGACTCTGGTCTCTCTCACCTCTGAGATACCTTGTCCTTGCTAAACAGTCAGCTGAGGAACAAGGCAAAGATACCTCTGTCTTTCCATGTCTGGAGTTTTCGCTGAAATTAAGGCATGGGCCCTGGTGCCCCCACCTCTATGAATCACCCAGGATCCTGGCCTCTCAAAAGCACCAAATACGCTTTCCGACGTGGGGTGTATGGATTCCATCCATCAGTCTCGTCTTGGTGTATAATCCCACCTATCTCACCAAAGACCAGGGTGTCTGCTGAGGCCAAGCTGACTCTTTCAGCAACACCTATTGAAGGCTGCTGACATGCTCCCTGTGATCTTTGGTGAAAAAAGACGTATTTAACTGTTTGCTCGATTCAGGGCAGAGGATATGGGGGTGATGATCTACCAGGGCTGGGTCAATGTCTGACTAGACATTTCTGAATTTGTTTGCAGAAAATCATGAAGACGAGGAGTATGTAGAAGAGAGAGAACCACTGTCCAAAATTAACGATCAGGGGAGGGTAAAGGACAGGTAAAGTATGGAGAGGGTCCTAGAAAGATCAAAGAGTGCAAAGGTGACCACATCTGTGATGTGATGGTCACCCAAACCTGCAGATTGCACTCCTGTCATTCCCTCAACCAACAACGACATAGCCCTCTTAATGGGGTTGTGCAGTCTCTTTCTGGTACTTGTAGAGTTAGTCTGAACCAAGGTGAACTAACTACTCTCATGGATTTCCTGTACTCACGGACATCACGTGTCCTCTCACGGATGGTTGGTTAAAAGGCAGGGTGAGATTCATATCCGCTTTCTGCAGAGTTCATCTGAGGTCGTTGGCAGGTATTTCACAGCAAGGAAGGTAACTAGACCCCACAAAATCGTATTATGTTAAATACTGAGAGAAGGTGGCCTAGAAGGTACAAGAACGCTGGAGTCGGCAATGCCTCGGGAGCTGGTATTGCCTGGCCGCTGATGTAACTTTCAAAAATATTTATGCATTTGCCAAACATGTCCCAAAATTCTGTTTTGAAGGCAAATGGGGGATGTTCTCATAGAAACCTCTGTGGAGGTCCTAAGAACCTTTGACTCAATTCCAATTCTACATTTTCCCTTCTAACCCACCATAGGGAGTTTGATTTTCTAATTCGAGTTCAGGCACGAGAGCTGACCCAGTTACGCCTACAGACACGGGAAGGAAGAGAGCTATCCGTCCTGCTTAATCAGAACCTCAAGGACCTCCTGGGCCGCAGTGACCTTAACAACCTCTGGGGGCAGGCCTTCCAAGAGCAATTGGCTGAGGGATGCAGGCTGTCCCAGGCCCTTGTCAGCAAGCTCAGCCCAGGTAAGGCGGCCACAGGCCCTGATTGCGCTGAGCCCTCCAAGGTCCCCGGCTCACAAGAGCCTCCACTTCTCCCCTCATAATGTTTTTGCCATCTCTCCTGGTTTCCACATCACACTTGGGGTCATGACAGGACCAGGAGCGGCTGGGTGGGAGCACAGAGAGGAGAAACGTACAAGGTGGAGGTGATAGTGTTCGAAGTGCCTGCTTCCTCCCTGATGGGCCATGGCCCTTGGGACAGGGGGCAGCCTCCACCCAGTGTTAGAGCACAGAAAGGCAGACATGATAGGAGGCAGCTAGTTAGGCTGAAAAGGGCCCTGAGCTAAGCGTGGACGTTCCCAGGCTCCAGCCTGAGTTCTGTCTTTTCTAACAGTGGGCGAGGGACGGATGTATCCTTCCTGGATTTCAGTTTCTTCATCTCTAACGTGACTAACACATGTGTTGCATGGTAGCTGTAGCATTCCAATAGGGAATGTCTATGAGTGTACTTTCACAATGCTAGAGTCACTCACTGGGGTTGATTTCAGTACTGGGTATGGTAGAATCTGGTAGTGGGATGTGGGTTTACACTAGAATACTTAGCACTTAACGAGGAGAGAATTTTCCTGGTGAACGGTAGACGCAGACGTGGAAGTCCCCACGAAGGACCAAGTCATGTGAGACTCGTGGGACAGAATTGTTTTTCCTCTCCTGAGAGAAAGGAGGAGGTTCTCTGTGAAAGGCATGATGAGACACAGAGTCACTGAGCTTGGGAACCAGCCTTGTGGCAGGAGGGAGGAGCCCCTAGGAAACCTGGAGAAGCATCTCTTGATCTGGGTAACAAAATCAATTTTTAACTCCTTGCTCAGTTCCACCCAGAGCATGCCACCTGGGACCCATCAGATCAGGGCCACTTTGCCTGATCCATCAGAATACCACGGCAGCCCATTTCTTTACAGACAAAACATGACACCTTTCTGAACTCATGTAGAGATAATTCGTGTCTCCAGGCCCAGAGAGGCACCTGCATTTGTAACGGGTGAAGTGGAACTAGCTAATGTCTAAATGGACTTTTCTCAATTTCTTTGCAGAAATCCATGAAGAGGAGGCTGAAGAACAACTGGGATCACTGACCCCCAGGTAACAGTGAAGGATCAGAGGAGGGTAATGTGCAAGTCAAATGCAGAGAGGGCTCTGGAAAGAACAGACGCAGAGGTCAAAAGTAGCTGCTTTCCTGAAGCAAGGAGGCGCAAAACTGGCTGATTGTGCTGGTCTCCTCCACTTCCCCCATCTGGATCGTCCATGTTCTTTGCAGCATGTGGAGTCTGTCTCACTCACAGTGAGGTAACCAGGCCTAGAGACGTCCTGCCCCTTCAGAGATGTCTTCTTCTCCTCCGGAGGGTCAAAACCCAGAGTAAGGTCCATACCTGCTCTCTGCATGTGGGCCTGAGCTTGTTGGCAGGTATTTCATGACAAGGAAAGTCATCAGACTAAATAAAAATTCATATTTTGTCTCAACCTTTAGAGAAGGAGGCCTAGAAGTTACAAGATCTCCTAGAGTCTCCAGTGTCTCAGGAGCATGCTTTTACTGGGTCACTGTGTATAAAATGCAAAAGGAAAGAAGAAAAAATGTGGTCCACCAAAAATGAGCAGATTTCTACTTGGAAGGCCTTTTGGGGATATTCTCACAGAAATCTCTCTCAAACTCCCTATCATCTCTCATTACCCCATTTCCACTCTGAGGATTTCTCTTCCCTCCCACCTTAGGAAATACCATTTCCTAATTCATGATCATGCACGAAAGCTGACCCAGATACGCCAGACGTCACGGGAAGGAAGAGAGGTCTCTGTCCTCCTCCATCAGCACCTCAGGGACCTCCTCACCCACAGTGACATTGGCAGAGACTGGGGACAGGGCTTCCGAGAACAACTGGCTGAGGGATGCAGGCTGGCAGAGCGCCTTGTCTGCAAGCTTAGCCCAGGTAAGGCGGCCACAGGCCCTGATTGCACTGAGCCCCTCCAAGGTCCCTGGCTGACAAGAGCCTCCGCATCTCCCCTCATAATGCTTTCGCCAGCGGTCCTGGTGTCCACATGGCACTTGGAGCCATGACAGGACCACGACTGGCTGGGTGGGAGCAGAGGGGAGAAATGCACAGAGGGACGTCATAGTGCTCCAAGAGTCTGCTTCCTCCCTGAGGGACCGTGCCCTTTGGGGCAGGAGGCAGCCTCCACCCGGTGTCACAGTGCAGAAAGGCGGATGTGATAGGAGGCAGCTTGTAAGAGTGAAAAGAGTCCTGGACTGAGCGTGAGCTAACCACAGGCGAGTGATTGATTTCTCCTTCCGGGATTTCTGTAAAATGGGTCAAAAGACGTGTTGCATGGTAGCTGTAACTATTAAAGAAGGGAATGCTCATGAATGTACTTCAGAAAAGGATGATACTCCTAACCGTTTGGGGTTTATTTAGTTATAATCCTAAAATGTGGGGGCAGATACGTTGATTTGAAATAGAACACTTTCCACAAAGAAAATTTTCCCCTCTTCTGCTGTAAAAGACAATTTGGAGTTCCCCTGAAGTCCCGGGATGTGTGGAGGGGTGAGTCATGGGGTTTTTTATCCTCCTTTTAGGGAAAGGAGTAGGGTCTATGTGGGAGTTCTGAGTGGACATAGAGTCACTGAGACTGGGAACCAGCTCTGTGGAAGGAGTGAGGAAAGAACTAGAGAATTCCAGAGGGAAACTGGAAAAGTACCCGCTGATCTGGAGACAAAAGATATTTGATCTTTGCCCAGTTAAACTCAGAGCATGCCATGATGGGGATCCAGCAGATCAAGGACATTTTGCCTGATGGGTCAGTAGACCATCCCAGGCCATTCCTTCAAAGTCAAACATGGGGCTGTCAGTACAATTCTCTCAGTGTGTCCTGACCTCATACACAGGTCATTGCTGTCCATGCCCAGGCAGGCCTTTGTGTCTGTACTATTTCATCTCTGTCTGGACATTTCTGAATTTTGTTTGCAGAAAGCCTGGAAGACGATGAAGATGAGGCAGAACAAGAATCACTGACCCCCAGGTAACAGTGAATGAGGAGGGCTAATAAGCAAGGGTAAAATGTGGGGAGAGTACCTGAAAGAAAGACCCTGAGGGCCAAATAGCCCCAGGTTTCACATGCCAGGGGGAACCAGCACTGCCCCTGGTGCTGATTTCAGTCACTCCAGCAACGATGGCAAAGCCCTTTGAACGAGGTTGTCTGTTGTCTTTGTGGTACTTGTAGCCTCAGTCTGACAAGGGGAACTAAGCAGTCTCAGGGATTTCCTGCCCTGAAAGAAATCCCTTGTTCTCTCTTGGAAGGCTAAAACAAGGATGAGATGCATGTCTGCTTTCCCAACTGTTGGCCTTAGGTCCTTCATAGGTATAGCATAGCCAGAAAGGATCTAGACAAAATTAAAAATAAATAAATAAATAAAAGGTCACGGTATTGACAGAAATGGCCTAGAAGGCACAAGATCTCTGGGAGTCCACAATGCCTCCGAAGCCTGCATTCACTGGGCTGCCATATGTAAGTTCAACACAATGTATTCACAAACTGGAAGCCATTGTATTGGTTCTCCGTGTGTGATGAGTCTGCCTTACAGGGAGAGTGCAGGCCCCATCATCATCTCACTGTCTGTCCAGTGCACTGAGCATGTTCTGCTCACTCTCTTTTTTCTCTCTCTCCCTCTCTCCTGTTCCAGGACAGCCAGGCTTTGCCCCAGTCCCTTGGACCCTACCCTTCAATCAGAACCAGCTGGGATACTGTGGTGTCTAATCCTTCTTGATCTCTTCTTTTCTCTTCCCTCTCTTACCAGTCTGGAGAGGGAGCTGCAGGAGAAGGAGATTGCGAAGGAAATCCTTCAAGATCCATCAGGTGAACAGAATTTGACTCCTTCCAGTCCTCGTGATCTCTCTGCCTCCGGGGAGCCCCTCAGAAGCACTGCCTTTCCGTGTGATGAGCCTCAAGTCAGCTTGACTCTGGAGGCAGCCAGTGAGTACTCCCTGTATAAAGCAGATAAATCCAAGTGGTCTCCCAGTTAGCCTCCATATTTTTTAAGCTCACCACGGCTGGCCAGGTAGAGAGATATACTTTCTGCAGGCTCTTGGACCGAGTTTTAAGTACAGATTTCAGGAGGGCTTGGGAGCTGTGCTGTCACCCTAATCCCTAGCTATGTCCCTCTCAGCCTGTCCCTCAGTGGCATCTGCAAGCCATTTTTCCCCAGGTGGGAGAGAGAAGGGATCATGACCACCTCACAGCCACCACTACAGCAGGGTCACAGTAGGTATTTGTCAGACCTCTTTCTTTAAGATGACGCATCTCATCTCCCGCAGTGTTCTAGCTAATTGCATTTCCTGAGCAGTGTCTCCCACTTGTCTCTGGCCATCCACACGTGGAACAGTTTTACTCAATTATTCTGGAGCTCTGTTCTCATGATTTGGGGTTCAAAGCTGATTCTCTACTTCCTCTGGGGTGACTACCTCCCTCTGAAGATTTAAAAACGAGATCCTGGATGCCGCATCCTGCCTGTGCCGCTTGGTTTCAATGAAGCCAAAGCTCTGGATCTGGTTTCCCCTCCTCCATAAATGGCCATGGGTTTCATCCTTTGTGTAGGCTCAGTGACTTCTTCCATGTGTGGGTTAGAGCTTCAAGCACGAGTCACGTCTTAGTGTTCTAATCTCATGTAAATGTCAACAACCAGTGTGCCTGATAGGACCCTTGTCTTACTTATGAGCAAAGAAGAACATGAGGCCACAGGACAGAAGGACTACAAAGGCATGGGGAGGAGTCTGCATGTGTAGAGTTGGACCATGATGCGAACAGGACTCCTGGGTGATTAGATTATTCAGACGTTTGATCGTGTGGAGATGACAGGATCAGAGAAGCAGTGGGAGATTCATGGATCCAGGCGTTAATGATGAGGTCTCATAGAGTGTGTTGTCAGGAATCTACATGGTAACACCATCCCAAACGATATTTTTACGAAACATTTAAAACAAACATTGGTGGCAATGAGGATGTGCAGAGGGGAGGAGAAAGGGGAACCCACAGTGGTGTGGAGAAGGCCCTGGGGGTTATGATCTGCCTTAGCCTGAGCTGGACTGGTCTGAGGCTATTTCAGGTCTTTGGTTAGCCCTCTTTCTGAGAATAGATTTTCATTTCACAGAAGAAATAGAAACATGTTTGATTAGGGACTAAAGCCCAGACCCCCCAGAAGAGTGTGTAACATAAGGACTGTGCACCATATTACGTCCCTGAAGAATCACACAAAGCCTCATACTGTAGCACCTCTGGCCCCTAAGTTTCTTATAAGGGTCTCAGACCTCTGCTACATTACTTACAGCTGCTACTACCTGTCTCCACCTCCCAAGTGGCAAAAGAATGTATATATGTGTGGGTGGGTGGAGGGCAGCCAAAACTTACAGAAAAGGAAGGTCAAAAGGCTCCAGAACTTTGCAAAGATTCCAAACTTGGTCTACAGTTTCCCAACTCCCTTCTTACTGGAAACAGAAGCCTTGGGACCATACTTCTTCCCTTCCTCTGATATTCTTCTGGGTAGACATCAGCAACTCTTTCTCCCCCATCTCCTGAGTCCTCTTTAGAACCTTCTCTGTAGGCTCCTGGACTAAGGTTACCAGTAACAGAGTAATAGGCATGACCTCATCTGCCCATGCAAAGCCCTCTGGACTCCAGTGGGTGATTGTCCACTTCAGGGACACTGTAGCCTGGGCACCTGCCATCTCGGCCTCCCCAGGGACACACATCATGGCGACATCTCCTTCATATACATGAAGTCTGAGTTTGTTTCCTGAGACCACTGACAAGCAGGGACTTCTGAAATGAGTGGTCTGGGAGGGCTTAGCAAATGGAAACTCGGATTGGTCCTACTGAAACCACTTCTTGTTTCAGCTCCTTCCTGGGAGGCTTGTCAGCAAGGGCCTTTGAGTGGAAACTTGAGTTTCCAAAGGTCAGAGATGCAAACTTCACAAGCACAGCTGGAGCCAAGCAGCTGAGGGAGCAGTTATCTGGGGCTGCAGCTGGACCAGTTCCATTGCAGGGATGGCAAAGCCAGGCTTGGTCTTTCCTCCACCATCTGGAGCTTCGCAGCCAACAGTGTTTCTGGAAACCGAGGTTCACTCTTCCAAGGTAAGAAAGAAAAGAAGAATAGGGAGCTGTAGTCCATGTGTTGGGCGTCACAGAGTTGTGGGGGAAGGTGGCAATGGGGCCTCTTCCATGCTCACTTCAGGTCAGGTTGAAACCCGTGATGCTCTGAGAGAGCGAGGTGGTGAGAGCCTGGGCTTTAGGATCAGCTCTGCCCCACGTCCCGGGTTTGCATCTTACTGGTTGTTTACCTTGGCCAGGTTGTTTATCCTCTTAGGTATTTACATCTCAATTCCCTCATCTGAATCCCCTGAGAATTATGTCTGCATTCCATACTCTTACTCATACTGCATTAATACTCTTGGGAGTATTAAGGACATAATTTCCACAGTGTCTGATTCAATAAAAATTGCTTGATAACAACTATGAGTATGTCAAATATACCCCCGTATCTTTCTGGTGCTTTAACACTTGCAAAATGATTCCACGTGCATTGTTCCGTCTGATGCAGAGCAGTCTTGATGGTCTCCACTCTCTCTGGACCCCATCTTCCCTTCTCTCTCAGAAAGGCACGTTTGCCCATTTTTCCCTCTCCTTTCAGGATCCATCATCAGGCCAGTTTTCCTGTTAGGTGCCCCCAGTAACACTGCCTTAGACACAATCGGTCCCAATGGAAACACTGGTGCACGGCTCAGTCTCCTCCTTATTCTTCAGTTTTTTTTCCCTCTTTTTCATGTAAAGGGCCACCTTCATCCTTAAAGTGCACAAGTCAGTCTCTTTTAGCATACTCTATTTAATTCACCATCTCTACTCATCTCTAAGTCCATGTCCTCAGTGTTTTTCTCCTCAGGATCCTGAGAGGTTGCTTACAACTGAGCTTCCAAACCCTGACATCCATTTCCTCTGGGTCTTGTTCCTCCTCACCCTCCACCGCTCTCAGCATCTCCTCCTGGGCCCTGGAGCTGCCTGGTGCTCATCCTTCAGGTGATGGTGTCATCTGAGGAAGGAGGAGAGATCCATGTTCTCAACTGGAGGTGGGGCAACAAGGAGCGCCCTGTCGCTCATGGACAGGTCCTACAGAAAGTCTCAGTGAGGGTCAGGGGAGGCGTAGCCCTGACAAGTGCCGTCAGATCTTGGGCTATTTAGTTGTCTTCTCACCCTCTAGCCTCTCTTTTCCTTCTCCTTGGCTTCCCCAATCCCAGCCAAGACTCAGCCTCACTGGCTCAGTCGCTCTCTTTCCTGCTCACTTTCCACAGGGGCCTGAGCATCACACCAGGCTCCACGCCAGGTTGTTTGGCCACGGATAGTTTCTTAGTCTGTTCAGGCTGCTATCACAAAAATTCCATTGACTGGGTGACATAGAAACAGCAGAAATTTATTTATTGGAGTTCTGGAGGCTGAGAGGTCCAACATCACGGCACTGGCACCTTCGATGTTTGGTGAGAGACCCCTTCCTGGTTCACAGAGACCGTCTTCTCGTGCCACCCTCACGTGCTGGAAGGGATAAGGGAGCTCTGTGGGGTCTCATTTATGAGGGCACTAATCCCATTCATGAGGGACCTGCCGCCCAAAGGCCCCACCTCCAAACACCATCACACTGGGGATCCTGTTTCCACAGAGGAATTTGGGGGAACGCAAGCAATCCTTCTCTGGAGATACCGTTAATGCTCTTTGTGTTATCCTCACCCGCCTCCTCCTGGTGTTCCACGGGGTTTCTCGCCACAGGGTTTCTCCTTCTTCTTGCACTTCTAAATTTTTTCCAATTTCAACTGACCAGAATAGTGATTAGAATGTCATATTCAATGTCTCCAAACCCCTGTTTATTCATCTGTTCAATTAGAGAAAAGAACACATATGCATAGATGTATTTATATTGTATGTCATACAGTCTGTGTATTTTGTGTGTACCTTTTATAGGGTACATATGTGACATCTATATATGCAAGTTTTGTAAACTCCCCTGCTTTCACCCTCCCCCATTTTTTTCTGTCCTATGTTTTCCCGTGCACTCTGGTTCTGCGTGATCTCTACAATCTCCTTCCTGCCAGTAGGACAACCTCTGTCCATGTGATTTCCTTCCCTTTGTCTTCTCTACTGAGACACTGTCTTTATCAATTCTGTTTTTCTTGATATCTTTTGGCAAATGGGAGTGTGTTTGCCTCCTGACCATCTCATCACCACTGAGCACTGTAAGAAAGATCGACAAAAAAGAAAATATCAGTGTCTGCATTGGCTTCACCTCACCCCCACGGACTTTCAGATGGCCGTTGTTGTTCGAGCCACTTTCCTTATTCGATGTCCCTCTCGGGTGGGGAGTAAGTCACTGTAGGTGGTGAATAACTGTGGATCCTCTCGGCTGTGGTTTTCTTTTCAGAGCTGGGTTTGGACGCATCCCTCAGGATGAAGACCCCTCCCACGCTGAAGGGTGATGCTCTTGAGTGTTCGGATGCCAGCAAGCAGTGGTGTCAAGTCGTTGGCCACATTGATGCCTCAATTGTCATCCAACCGCGGATTCTCAAAAGAAAACTGCGGCTCAGCAAGTGGAGAGTAGCATGCAGATTCCCTGGCCTTCAAGCTTAGGGTCCAGAGGTGATTCCATCTGGGGCTCTCAGATGCACTTATTCCTCAGTGCTCTCTGTCTAAGCTCATAGCTCAGTCTCCTGCTCTTTTTTCTCTCCCTTGTTTGTTCTGTTCAACATCTGGTGCTACCTCTGTCTGGTCTCACCTCTGTCCTCCATGGGGGCTGCCACTGTGCCAGGCCCTTCCATCTCCGTCTCCTGTTTGCACTCTGATCTCTGCTGTGTTTCCACTGCCGCTGTCCTGATATTCCCTCTCACCTTTCCTCTTAGCCAAGGGGAAGCCCAGCCCCATGGTCCTCCTCATCACAAGAGCATCTTTGAGCCACTGAACACATTGCCCTTTGTCTGAAATCACACACTTTCTTGGCTTCTTTGCCTTCCCTTCCCTGCTTCCCCAACTCCACTGCCTCTTTCTTCTGGGAGCGTTGTCCAAACGGATCACTTGCACATGGATATTCCTCCTGTGTGTGTTAGGGAACCCGACCTAGGACAACCCTTAACCCTGGACTTCTCCATGTGAATAGGAAGTGTTGAAACTGAGGAGAAAGAGCCCCGATTATAAAAACTGAACGAGTGGCTGGGTCATGGCCAAGTGGTTGAGTTCACGCGCTCTGCTTCAGCAGCCCAGGGTTTTCCCGGTTCAGATCCTGGGCACGGACCTAGCACTGCTCATCAGGCCATGCTGAGGCAGCGTTCCACAGCGCAGAACTAGAAGGACCTACAACTAGAACATACAACTATGTACTGTGGGGCTTTAAGGAGGAGAAGAAGAAAACAAAAAAAGATTAGCAACTGGTATTAGCTCAGGGCAAATCTTTAAAAAGAAAAAACCTCACTGAGAGCCTGGGTGGGAGTGCTGGACTGGCCTGGAGTCGGGGTTTTCCCTCAGCCCCAGGTGTGCAGGCTTTGGCTGGTCTGCATGGGGCTTCCAGGGACCGAGTGTCCCCACCTCAGGGCCTCCTCGGAGCTGGCAGTAGTACTGCCATGTAATAAGCAACTGGGGACTTTTATTTAGATGAATGCCTTGACCTCACAACTCAAGATTCTCGTTTAAATGCTCTGGGGTGGGGTTTGAGCTTCAGTATTTTTAGAAAGCTCACAAGTGGTTTTTATGCAGCTAGAGATAAGAAGAACCCTTTGTCTCCTATGACCTCAGGTTCAGCATAGAAATGTGCCAAACATTTCAGTGCTTCATTGAAATGTCTGAGTATCCGTGAGTCCTTGATGGAATTGTATTCCTCTCTCAACTGTACTATCCATATAACATGCAAGAAAATCAAGAAGAAAAAGAGGTAGATGAATGGATTAGACTTAGAAGAACTCTACTTGGAAAAGACTTTCTCCAACTTTTTAGAATGCAAGATAAAATGAGAAATAAACATTACATAGAAACCCAGTTTACAGATAACAATACCTCCCTGTTACAAATAACAGAATTTAGTACTTTCTTTAATTTTTTTCTTTTCTTTTTTTTTGGTGAGGAAGATTGGCCCTGGGCTAACATCTGTTGCCGATCTTCCTCTTTTTCCTTGAAGAAGATTGTAGCTGAGCTAACATCTGTGCCAATCTTCCTCTATTTTGTATGTGGGAGTCTGCCACAGAATGGCTTGGTGAGTGGGGTGTCTGGCCATGCCTGGGATCTGAACCCGGGAACCCCGGGCCACCCAAGCAGAGGGTGCAAACTTAACCACTATGTCACCACGCCAGGCCCTTCTCTCAAATTTATAATGTAAAACTTGAAGTTCACGTTCCATCAAATTGAAATCAAGTCCAATGGGTTTGGCACTACACTTGGAAAATTTTACTATTGATCAATTTTTGTTATTAAGTAAAATCCTCAAAGAGAACCATTATATTCATTCCCCTAAAGAAAATATAATAGTAAATAAATTGAACGTTAGGAAAAAGAGTTAGGTTTATGCTTCTTTATGCCATTCTTTACACTGGCGTAAATCCTAAAAAGGAATCTTTCCCGAGGGAGTGCTTTGGGGGAATCAAAGGGTGGGTGGAAGAGAACCTAGTCAAACCAGTTGCCTTATGTATCCCCTTCAGAGACCTTCTGGTCTAGACCTTGAGAATATTCCTAGCAATGCCCTAAGGTGTATCCTGGTGTGGAATCCACAGGAGGACTGAAGGAAAAGGAGTGCATCCATGGTTATACTCCTTGCTGTTTTTTTTGCTAATTCCCTTGTGAGTTTCCCCTTGTGGGGTTCTTCCTCAGTCCCTCCGGAGAATATTTCTCTGTAAAGCCTTACTCTCGTCCAGCCAAGGTGACCCAACAGTATCTACTTCCTGTCGACACCTCCGGACTGGAGCCTTTCCTCTCACCTTCCCCGAAATGGACACAAAGGGAGAGGCCTGAGTTCTGGCCCCAGGGTTGTCAATAACAGCTCAGGTGGCTTTAGTTAGGCCTGAGCCCCCTGGCATCCCCACTCCTCATCGGTAGAAGGTGGAACTGGATTTGGATATATTCTGAGGTCCCTGTAGGCTCTTACATTCCCGACCTCTTCCCATCGCCTGCCTTTCTTCCTCAGAGTACTGGGACAGAGAGAGAAAGAGGGCGTGCCTCTCTGCCAAGGGTCCTCTCCTTCCGACAGCAGTCTGTTTCTGAATGTGTGTGATGGATGCTGAGCACATCCCTCCCTGGGAGGTGTGAGACAACCATCCCTTTGCTCCAGACGAAGGGGATTCAGGAGTGAAGTGGCTGCTGAGGACAGGGTGGTGGGGATCTGGCTAAGGCTCTGCAGCAGCTCTGAGCTCAGACGTCACCAGCTCCTGGTGGGCGAGGACAGGGGTCCCTGGATCCTGCACCGCAGACTGGATGGAAGTTTAGGGAGCCGCCTCTTCTAACTTTGGATCTCACTTTCCCCTTCAGCTCCTCCTCCCAGTAGGAGCTCAGCTTGCTCCTGGCCTCTGTCACCATGTAGCCAGCCCTCCAGGCTCAGCTCGCAGCAGGACCTGACAAAGACTCACACTGGGTTGTTTTTGCTCTCTCTCTCAGATACCAAGTACTTCTGAAACCAAGAAAAGAAGAAACCCCATTATGAAAAGTCGCTTTCCCACTGGATGAAACACATCTAAAACAGCCAATCCAGTTCCAGCCCAAACAGAACACCAGAGGGATCCTTTGCTGAGAATCCACATCACAACCGCAAACCACTCTCCAGGATGTTTACTCCAAAAGCCTGCTTCGATGGGAGCAATCCCAGCCCCTCAGCCTCCAGTTGTGGTACATCGCGAAGGAGCCCAATGCCTAGATGCACACACGGTTCTGAGAGACCTTAACCCTCGCTCCTCTCAATTCCCATCCCCTACGTAACCAGAATCAGGAGCAAGTGGGCAAAGACAACGTGTCGAACCGGACGTTCTTTGCCACCACCAGGGCTGTGCTAGGAGCAGACAGCAGTAACCGTGCAGTGTTCTTGTTGAGAATGCGCAGGCTGAATTTCATCATGAGGTCGTTATCAGACAACTGCAGAATGTAGACCATTGAACAAGACGACTGGCCTTTCTTCCAACAGTCAGTGCCACCACAAAGACGACGACAAAGAGGAGAAGAGATATTTTCGGTTCCTAAGGACTGAAAGGATTGTGTTATTGTGTTTTTTTAGTCCTTTGGGACCAAAAATATCTCCTCACCTTTTTGTGGTTGTCTGTGGTGGTGGTGACGTGGCCTTGTTTGCAGGGGACAGGTCAGTCGTCTGGCTCAGTGGTCTACATTCTGAAGTTGTCTGACCATTTCCTCATGATTAAATTCAGACTCACCCTTCTGCCAAGAACACTATACAGTTAGTTTCTGCTGTGAGCGTCCTAGCACAGCCCCCTGGAGACCAAGGATGTCCAGTTTATCCACCACCGTTACTGTGTGACTAGCATTGGTCACTTTGTTCTGGAGGGCCCACGAGATCGGTTCATTGTAAAGAGGCATTTTTTTTTTTCTTTCTATCGTTAGCAATTTGGTGAGTGGTACTTTGAGAGTGTATGAATATCCTCTTCTCTAAAGATCTTTCTCTAAAATTTTTTACCATCGTTAATGAGCCCTGCTGTGTGTCACTTATCGTATTCCTGTTTGTACATGGAGATTTCCTAATTTCGTCATTCCTCTATACTTGTAGTTGCTGGCACAGTGCTGTGGAAAAGAACTTTCCCTCCCCCTTTCATACCGTTAAAGTTTCTGTTGTGACTGTCACTGTGGACTCGTGAATTTTTTACATTCATTAGCATAATCCATTATACTCAGGATTGATTTTGTTGGATATGGATTTAAGTCAATAGAAATATTCTTGTTCCTCCTGTTCATACTTATGTGCTAACGCTTCCCCCATGAATAAAATTTCCTCAGTCATCTCTTATTGGGTAGAGTCGGTCCTTAAAAGACTTCCCATGATGGAATCAGGACTCCCCGGGGGTTGCATGTTTAACTCTCTTGTTCTGCTGCCTGATGCACGGACAGCTTGGCGGAATGTAAAGGACTTGCCCACAATGACTCTTATTCAGTTTTTTAAAAATATTGTCTTGCTCTGTATGTTCTGTTGAGATGGAGAATGTAAATCCATTTTCTCCCAGTTGTATGTGAATTGGCTTTGAGGGGTGGGGAACTTTTGGAAGGTCTGGAACTTGAGAGGAATTTGTTTTTCTTTTTTTCAAGTCTTTTAGTTCTAAGAGGATAGAACTTGGAGTTGACCATTCCAGTCTATTTCTCCCAGGTATCTATGATTTTCTCTCTGATCCTTTCTCAATATCTTTTCTTCACATTTGTTCTGCTTGATACTTTCTTTATTCAATGTCTCTTATAATTTTGAACAAATATGTTGCCCTTATGAACCTTGCCATTTAGCCTTTTTTCAGAGAATTTTCTTTTTCTTCATTTTTTTCCTTGGTTCTGCCAATTCTAACTTCTCATTTCCTGTTTTGTACCCAGTTCTCTTTTGAGTATTTCTTATGTGAAGTTTTGTTTCTTCGTATCCACAAATGCTCTGTCAGGAACATTTCATTCAGTTAAGGATGTCATTTTATAGTGATCCTATGCTTGCTCATTGCTTTTGAGGGGAATTGTTTCATGAGCTGAACTCTTTGACTCTCTAGTTCTGGTTTTTCCTTATGTCATCTTAGAACACCTGTCTGCTACATGATTTTCCCGTTAACATGCTTAGGTTTACTGAACGAGAAACAAACATTCTCTCTAGGAACGGATGAGTGATTTGTTTGGCTTAGTCCATTTCTTAGGTCTGGATCTCTCTCTTTGGTGCAATTCATCTAATAGACGTGAGGTTTGGGGATAGGCGGGCTGTGTCTTCTGGATTTGGGGAATCTATTTTCTTCCAGTAGGACCTTTCATTTCTACCACTTGCTTCATTCTTTCCTTCACCACAAGCCTCCAAAGACACTACGTCTTCTTCCAGATCTCTCCCTGGCCCCAGCAATTGTACCTCCCCAAGATTGTCACCTCTGGTCCTCTGCACTGTGGAAGCCCTTCCTTTCAATTCCCCAGCAGCCGGAGCTGTGGTGGCCCTGGTCTCAGGCCTGCTCTGAGTTTATGACAGTCCCTTTCTGTGGAGGACTTCCCTGTGTTCCCTCCTGAGCAGGCCCTCCCTGTTGTCCTCTCCTCTATGTGCGTGGTCTTTGCTGATCCTTCCCTTGCTGTTTGGCCCCCAGACCTGGCTCAGGGAAAGCCAATCGAGTCCACAGTGTTCTCTGGCCCCTGGTGGGTTGGGTGCAAGGTTGTGAGTGGTGTTTCGGACTCTTGTGAGATAATGGAAAATATCTTCTTTGCTCCTGGTTCCTGGCACAGAACTCCTAAAACCTTGGTAGTTTCATCAGTGATAAGAAAGGAGCATCTCTTTTGCTAATATTTGGTCTTTGACCCCATCCCTGACACAGGGCTCTGAAACCCTTGTAAATCCCTAAATGACAGGAGCACCAGGAGCAGCTTTTGTTCTATTGAGGTGACTCTGGGTGGTCTCCTGGATGGCTCCTGGCTAGGGGTGACCACCAGAAAGACCCAGCCATGATTAGATGCTTGGAATTTTAAGCCCACACCCCACCCTCCAGAGATGGGACAGGGACTGAAAATGAAGTTAATAATTGACCTTTCCTATGGGAAGAAGCCTCTAAATCATCCCAGTAGTCAGGGGTTCGGAGGTCTTCCAGGGTGGTGTACATATTCGCACCAGGAGGGTGAGGCAACCCAACTCCACGAGGACAGAAGCTCCTATACTCGCGACCCTTCCGGACCTCACCCTATGTATGTCTTCATGTGGCTTTGCATTGGCTAACCAAACCTGAGGAAGGGGTTGTGGGAACTTCTGCTTTGTAGCCAAGTGGGACAGAAGTTGTGGGTAGCCTGCGGACCTACTACATGCAATTGGCATGTGGAGTGGGGTGGGAACATTCTTGTGGGACTGAGCCCTTTATCTGTGGGATTTGACACTATCTCCAGGGAGACAGTGTCAGAATTGAGTGAAATTGTGGGACACCTAGTTGGTGTCCTGAAGAATTGCTTGGTGTGGGAAAAAAACCCACACATTTGGTGACCAGAAGCGTCAGAGGTGAAGTGTTTTGTGTGGCGAATAAAGGAGACACACGGGAAAGAAAAACACAGGAGGAATGAACTGGGTTTTGTCTTTTACAACTCTCCATGTCAACTCCTAGTCCTTTGAAATAATGCTGAGAAATTCAGCTGCCGTCATCCTAGGTGGACCTGTACTCTCTACCATTCTTTTCAAACGCAGACTTTCTATAGTACACAGAAATGGAATTCTACAACAGAACATCCCCATCTTCATCAAGCAGCTTCAACAATTATCACCTGAAGGCTGAACTTGTTTTAATACAATCCCACACTTACGTCCCTTTTCCTATATTATTTAAAGCAAATCCCACACATCATGTTCATCTGTAATTATAATAGAATGTTTCCCTAAATGATGACTCTTTCTGAAAGTATTATCATAATACTATTACAATTATTCAGTAAATAATTTAAAACCTTTAATATGAAATAGACAGTGTTCAATTATCCCATTGTTGTTTTTAGGTTGGCTTCTTTGAGTCAATATGCAAAAAAAATCCACAAACTATGATCAGTTGGATATGTCTTTAAGCCTCTTGCATATACAGTTTCTCCCTCATTCTCTCTCTCGCTCACTCTCTCTCTCTTTCTCTCACTCTTGTTCTCTCCTCTTTTGTCAATTATTTGTGATGAAACTGAAGTGCTTGTTCTGTAGCATTCCCGCAGTCTGAATTTGGCTGATTTTGTACCCGGATACACTTGAACACGTTCCTCTGTCCTCCATACAGTGCTGTCTAATAGAAAGACAACGCAAGCGCCAAATGCCAAAAGTAATTTAGTGAATTTAGGGCCGGCTATCTGGCTCAGTGCTTAAGTTCCCACGCTCCCCTTTGGTGGCCCAGGGTTTTGCTGGTTTAGAGCCTGGCACGGACGTGGCATCACTCATCAGGGCATGCTGAGGTGGTGTCCCACATCACACGACCAGAAGGACCTACAACCAAAATACACAACTATGTACTGGGGGGCTTGGGGGAGAAGAAGAAGAAGAAGAAGAAAAAAAGAAGATTGGCACCTGATGTTAGCTCAGGTGCCAATCTCTAAAAAAAGGAAAAAAACTTAGTAGCCACCTTGGAAACTAACATGTATGAGCACTCAACAAAACAAAAGGCTCATCTTCGTTTACTGCTACTGTTGAGGGAAATAGTTCTCCCAAAGTTATACAGTTGGGTCTAATAAAATAACATTTTACCTGTCTTCAGTTTGTAAGTTTACATTTAACTGTTATAAATTCAGTGAAATTAAAATTCGGCTCCTCTGCACCCCTAGTGACATTCCAAATGTTCAATAGCCACACGTTTCTTGTGGCCACTGTGTTGGATCCGCAGATGCAGACACTGATCAGATTCATGTTTGATAAGTTGACAAGACTTCCTCAAAAGCGGTGTGTGCTCTTCCATCGGGGACACATCACGTCCTGTGCGCCTCTTCTAATGGTGTTAGCAGCCCTTCATGTGCAAGGCCCAGATCCATTCAGTGATGACGTGGAGCAACTGGTGATATTCCATCGTCAGGTCTTATTACCTGGGACACTTGTAGAAAGAGAAACTTCCCCTAAATAACTAGTTAGTTATGGAACAGAACAGTCTGTAAAGAGGCCTGCACCTTAATGAGCTGGTCCCCTAGCACCCTCGGTGGTCACCAGTTAGCTTCCTTTCTTTTTCTTTTTCTGGGTTGCTATGAACTCTAGGATTCAGACACATGGAAGCAGTTCAATCCATTGCAATATGGTCCTTACTGATGCTCCAATTATCCTCCCTTTCAGCAAAGAATGTGAGTTCAAGTTGGCCCCTTAATCCCTTTTGATAACATGCTAATAATCTCTGAGACCTCTCCTGATATCAGTTTGAGAAGGTGTTCTATCTCATCTTGAATATTTACTGCTCCTTCCTCAACTCAACCATTTCTTTAACAAACTCTGGTTTCTTTTTGTGCAAAATGGTCTTCCCAGATCCAACTGTGTATCCTAGAGGTACTCATTGCCATTCATTAGTTTCCAGTGGACGGAGCTAGGAAATGCACATTTATGTTCATATGTATTCATGTACTCACGTATATTCACCAACACTGCCAATTCTAATTTGGAACTACAGGGTTTTTTTCTTTTTTTGCTGAAGAAGATTCACCCTGAGCTAACATCTCTTTCCAATCTTCCCCCTTTTGTATATGAGCCACTGCCACAGCATGGCCACTGGCAGGTACGTAGCGTAGGTCCATACCCGGGTTAGGCTGAAGCCGAACATGGCAAACTGAACCACTAGGCAATGGGGGCTGCCCCTATCGGGATTTTATCGACTGTCTATCTTTCACCTGAATCTCCTTTCTCTAACACCAAGCATTTTTTGTTTTAAAGGACACCGGGGGTAATAAAATTAGAATATCCCAAAATGTCTCATTTACTTTTTCCCCTCATTTATATAAACAAAAGAATACAGACAATAGCAACAACACCACTAATAACACGCTTGAGGAAAGTGGCTTCTGGTTTTGTCACTCTCTTGGAGTATAGATAAATTATTGTGTTTGAGAGTCTCTTGGAAGAGTTCTAATCCACATGGTTCTTCTACAACAGGGATACATAGTTGGGTTCATTTGTTGCATTGTGTTTTCAATGTCAAGAGGTGAAATTTCTGAAAATTTCATTTAGTTTTATAGCTACGTCACAATGAATGTAGAGGGGCTGCCCTGTGGCTGAGTGGTTGGGTTCGTGTGCTCTGCCTTGGCGGCCTGGGGTTTCGCTGGTTTGGATCCTGGGTGTGGACATGGCACCGCTCATCAGGCCATGCTGAGGCAGCATCCCACATGCCACAACTAGAAGGACCCATAACTAAAATACACAACTATGTACTGGGGGCCTTTGGGAGAAAAAGGAAAAATAAAATCTTAAAAAAAAAAATGAATGTAGATTGCAACTGAAATCTAACCAAACAAGTT